ACAATCGTTGCATGTATTTCAGTAATGGAATGCAGTACGAGTACAGCGATGTCATGCAATATGATGTTGGAGCGCACACTGGGCCGGGGGTCCGGAAAAGTGCTAGAAATTATTTGTGATTGAGTTGTTGATCTCAGAGACAAGCAAACATGCTAAAAACGAAGTGGGGCTGCTTAACCCTCGCCGGACCTATTGTCGGACCCCCCACCCCCTCGGCCGGCCGGCCGAGGGGGGAGGGTTGGTACGACCCCTTTTTGCCGTTTCGCCCCTAATGGAGCTAGAGCCTCGCGGAAAAAAACAAGCGTGTGCGCCGTTTCAAGGCGGAACGATTGATACCCGATTTTAAGGTCCCAGGTCAACCGGTAACCTCTGAGGTGAAGTCAAAAAGCCCAAGGTAGGGCTTGGTTTTTGGCAAATAATTTCGCAAAAAATGGCCGCAGAGCAGCGATTTTGGCACCATCGTGTTCGCCTGGCTCAGGCGCGTCGAATGGTATACTTTTTGTTCGGGTGAGGTCAACTTCAGGTATTGACCTCGAGTCAAGGTCAGTTCAGAGCCCATCAGGCCACGAACTTAATCGAAGGAGGTCGTATCGCATATCATTCGATTCGGGAGGTCTTCCCGAGTCCATTGGTGGCTTTCCCGAGTCGCTGGCTCAATTTGATCATGAGTTATTGACGAGAAACTCCTATGACCGGTGTGACGTCATAAATGACGTCACGGAAGGTCAAAAATGCAAAAGTAAAGCATCGGATCTTGCAAGGAGTGCACGAAATCACGATTCCGTGTGCTTGAGATAGTTTGAAATCATTCCATGCGCAAAAACAACAGTTTCCTTATTTCCCCATTCACTTTTAATGGTGAGGTCACGTGACCTCGAAGAGTAGCAGGCATTAGCAAAAATTGCGAGTAGGGCATGACAGAAAGATGATTGGTGGTTTGTATGGCATAGCCATTTTTAACGGCTCGAAATAACATTTCTCAAAAAGTCTAACTAAAGAGCAAGTTGTTGTTGATTATCACTGACTTGTGTTTAGGGGTTAATAATGACTGAATTTTTGAGTTTGGCCCAGAAATGTTGACAGCATTGTGTGCGGTGATCAATTCTGAGCTCAGGGACATATATTTCATTTAGATTATAAGCGTTTGTTTTTCACAACTTCCAGCGTTTTAAAGAGCGCCGGGCCTTCAGTAGAGCGGCGAGGTGACAATTGCCCCTACATCATGTGGTTTACTGGCGCATATCTCGAAAAGTAGCAGGGAAAAGCAGCAAAGCACCTATATGGAACAAAAGATGAGTAATCAGAGGCTAGTATGAAATGTTCATTTTTAGCCGCTCGAAATAACGTTTTTATAAAAGTCTAATTAAAAAATTGGATATGATTTTAAATTACGTCTTGCAGCTGCTTGCAAACAGCTAGCTTATCTTGCAGAAAAGCGATGCAATATGTCAGAATGATGTTGGCACAGTGAACAACAGTGCCCTGAACTAGTCTGACAGGAAATTTCGTTCAAAACGACGATTGGTCAACTAATAAATTACCACTAAAGTTCATCATTAAAATCGGTAAATGTGGTGGCCTATAGAGAGTCTAAATTGTCTTGTGTTTGGTGACAACTGACGACCTCAATTTTGACCTTAGGGAAAACTAGCATCGGAATCGTATTCTTCGATCAATTTGGGATTAAATGATACCTATTTTGTTCATATTGCGGACAGTCAGTTTGGGGGAATTTCTAGCGCTTTTTCAGGCTGCCGGCCTACAGTGGAGCGGTGACTGTATGCGTGTATACTCACTACACGTCTGGACTTGGTCTAAGACAGCCTCCGAAGTTCTTTGGGTCCCTGGTGGCTGATGCTGACCTCTGGAACGCCTGTGTAGTCTCGAACCTGTGCAGAATGCAAGGAAGAGCCATGTTCACTGATTTTCAAGCCTGCGCCGAGCGGCGCCGATCGGCACCGCCCCCGCCCTGGCACCGTCGCCGCCGGCGCCACTCGCCGTGCTTCCGGCCGCGCCAGGTCATCACGGCTCGTAAGACAACAATGCGGCGCCTTTACCGCTCGCACGGCCACATGTGGGCGCGGCCGGCCGTGCGCCGCCCCGCCGGCCTGATTTGCGAGTGGAGCCCGCCGCCGCGTCGCCGCCCTGCCCAGCTCCTAATGAAACATGTGTCGGCCGCCGGCTAATTTCTCGCGCCGGCTCTCTCCGGCGCGCCGCTAAATCAGATTTGTCACCCTTGCCGGCGGGCCGCGGCTGCCGCCGGCTTTTTGTCACGCTTTTTAGCGCGCATTGTTTCTGATATATCATGTTGTATATGACAACGGCGAAGCCGACAGGCCGCTGGCTTCCGGCCGAGGCATTAGGAGGCCGTCGCCGCAGCCCGGCGCTGTGGAAAGACGGGCAGCAGGGCGGGCAACATCAGCTCCAACAACACCGTTAGTGCGGAGAGGACCGAGGGCGGCCATTCCGCGGACGAAACGGAGCGCGAGTTACTACCTCGCTGGATTGTGTTTATCATATTTGAAGATGACTTGCTTGCAAGCCTTGCCGGGCCGCCAGTTTTTTAAAGTATGTGGACGTTAAGTGCATTGTAATATGCGGCCGGCAACAACTGTTCGCTTGTTTTGTCATCTAAAGAATGGTTGGTAGAGCTCTTAGTGACGGCTTGGTATGCCATCTGCCCAGCTTCCCTGGGGCGTCGGTGATGTTTTGAATGAAGTTGGCCTGGAGAATGAAAACAATTTTGCCTTTTGTTGCTATTTTTGTGCGGGCGCCTCAAAAACTAATTTGAACAATGCGAATTTGTCATTATTTATCTAGTTCCAAACATAGCTCGCCATTTTGATGTATTTTATATAAAAAGTAGGCAATGGGCCAGATTCAGCACCTCTACAACAATGACTCTATTTGAGACAGTTGCTGCAATAGGCTATGACTCCATTCTGAGACAGTTGCTGCAGTACAATGGCTCCGTCTGAGACAGCAAATGCAGGACAATGGCTGCCGTCTGAGACACCCGCCGGGTCCTCGAGGCCCCTCCGGTCACCGGGGGCAGCGTTGTCCACTATCGGTCAGGCCGTTATATTTACAGCAGACGTCCAATGAAGCGTCGGATCAGCGCAGACGTCCATAGCGGCTGTGCAGGTCGCAGCCGGCCCCCGACCACCGCGACCACGTCATTGTTTACCGCGCTGAGAATGTTTTCAGAATGCCGTCCAGATTATTCAAGTTTTATTTCAGCGAAGGCATTTTGAATTCGCCATTGACGTCAATTCCTGATAATTAGTGAGCTGTTGACACATACTTCCTGTCTGTATTGATAGATCTTCGTATTGGAGAACTTAATAGCCCCTGGTGTCATAAATACGTGTTTAGAGAACATTTTTATGAACTCATCTATTAGGCTGGCAAATTGATAACTGTTTAATTATATGGCGTGAAGCGTTGGATTAATATCTAATGTATACGTAATGTAATATTGCAATCCTCACGCCCTGGGGAGTGTTACTGAGGTGCCTCTGACTTCCTGGCTGGGCCGAGCCGGGTCTCAGTGGGTGCCTCGGACGACACAGTGGCTCTGTTTGGCACAGTGCGCGGCGCACTCCGCCGCCACTGCGCCACTGTTTGTCGCCTGTCGACGGGACACACACGGCGCACATTTGTGCGCCGCGCGCCACACAGGCTGCGCCACTGTCGCCCAATAATCAGCCGAAATTAATTACATGATTCTCAATGAGTCTGTTTGATTCTGTTTGCTTACGCTGGCCCCGGGGGGCCGAAACAAAGCCGGCCAGGTGGCGGCGGCAGTGGCGGCGCGCTGGGCCGTTTCCGGCGCACTGGCGCACCGTAATCGCCGCCGCCGTATTTTTACTCCGCCGCCGCCGCACCTGAACAGCATTGTTTGTCGCTCGTGATTTGGCTGCGATGAAAATATACAGCCCCCTACTACAATATACCAGCAAAATGGCCAAATAAATAGGCCGCAGGACCACGGAGAACTGGCGGCTGTCGGGCAGAACTGATGAGAACGGGTTGCCAGGCACCGACGGAGGGGAGGCAGCTGGGTGGAAGGGTCTGCCGGCCACAGGGGCGGCTCACATCGCTCTCCGGGCAGACCAAAGGTCCGACGTGAGATAAATGTCTCACAAATCGTAAAAGAATCGCACCTATTCAGGAGAACCTAAATGCAGTCAAGCCTCAGCATAAGTTATCTTTCCAGCACCAGACTGCAACTGAAGTACAAACGGCCAGCTTATGCCGCTTGCTACCATTCAGCGCTAATGCAGTCCAACCTAACCTATCCCCAACTGAATAATCATATCAAATACAGCCGCGTTACACCTTTCTCATATCGGACCTCTTAGCAAATTAATGTCACTTGCGGTGTTGTATCGCATCGCATCAACACGACTCAGCATGCAGTAGAGACCCAACGGAAACATAATTTCTCGGAGCGGGTTGGGGTACCACATCATTCAATGACTACTGCTCAACCCTAGCCCACGGACACTCGACACTGCCTCCCGGGACTCGGGAGGGGAGGGACAGGAGGGAGTGTGGGGGAGGAGAGGAGGACAGGGCAGGGCACGAGCCTCTCCAACCGACCACCCAGGGCAGCGGCGCCCGACAGTGACGGCGGTCCCATTCCTCCGGCGTGTTCACTGCATTCTCGCCAGTTGTTGGCCGGATTCGGGCCATTGCAAATGGTGGCACGTGCAGCGTCCCTGCTTGGGGGGGGGGGGGGGGCCGCTTTTTACGCCGGCGGAAGGCAACAATTCATCATTTGTGCACGCGGCCAGCACCTGTGTGAAATCTGTTTGGGTTCCTGTTTTTGTTAGAAATTCGATTGGGCTGGGGTCACGTTCGGCTCAATGTCTCTCGAGGACCCTTCTCTCTCAACTTTCGACGAGCGACAACACCAAGCCAAACGACCCACAGATCGTAATCAACATTCCGTGACGCCGTATTTACCCACCTCCCCTTCCGTCCATGTGTTACAGCGGGCGCCATGTCGGCCAAGCGCAAGTCGCCACCGTCGAAGCTGTCGGACGCGGAGGGAGACGTAGACCTGGCGATGTCGGAGAGCGTTGGAGCGCTGAGCGGCGACGGTCGAGAGTCACCTGCCGGTCAGGGCGGGGGCGGCGGGGGCGGCGGCGATGGCGGCGGCCTCAGCCCGCGGCACGAGCCGCCTAGCGCCGGAGAGGAGCTGCTGGCGCAGCGGCGCAGCATGGAGAGCGTGCTGCGGCGGCTCTCCTCGCGGCTCCTGGACGAGGCCGGCCCGCCCGTCAGCTCGGCGTGAGTACACAGGGCACATTTGGCGGAATGCAGACTTCGAATTATGACGAAGTATTATCTCAGCGCTTTTCTTTGTTCTCCAACGAAGCCAGGCTTGAATTGACATACCTTCTAACCTGTTTCATAGAGGTGTGCTATAGGAATAAAATCTCGCTCATGCCCTGAGCTGCTGATAGGATCTGACCTGACTTGACCTGACCTGACCGTGTCCCCAGAGATGCCTCTATGCCGGACGTGTCCCGCTCCCACCCGGATCTGCTGCCAATGCTGGTGGACAAACATCAGATGGATCCGCATAAGATCCAGGAGATGATCGAACAGCTGAGGCTGGTGCAGCACAGCATCCAGCTGCGGCAGCAGCAGGAGCAGCTTCGACAGCAGCAACAGCAGCAGCAGCAGCTAAAGGTAAGCAGTAGGAGCATCAAAAACAGCTCAAGGTAAGCAGTGGAAGCGGCGGCAAGTCAAGATGAAATTACTAGAAGAAGCGCAGTGTGAACAGAAAAATGGCACCAGTGAACAATTAAATATCCTCTTGCGTCAATTTTTGAAGATTACCGATGTAGGTATTTAAACGTCACCTTCCCTCTGAACGCTGCCGGATCAAGTACAGCGCCACTTCGCTCCTAAAAACAGCTCTACATTCGTGTTTCGCAAAGCGATACAAAATAATAGAACTCCCCACGTAACAGGATTGTCAGGCGATTTTAAGTCTGCGAACACATATACAATTTATTACCCTTCTGTTGCACGGAAAAAGTGACATGATCAAGCATCTCTCTTTGAACGAGCAAACACGCCACATTGATAATCCTCGGATGATCATTTCGGCTGGAGATTACTCACGGTGTAGTCGCTGCTAATGTTTAAATCACTGGCGGACGGCAGGAGATGGATGCCCTCGGTGACTCACAGTCGGTCGGATTAATGCCCCGGCCCTGCCCCGTCCAACTGCGGGCTCTCGGCGGCTCGCGGCTCGCCGATGCAGACCGGTTGATCGCACTGGCTCGCGAGCGGCTCTGTGGCGCGGAACTGAGCCGGCGACAATGTGTTCCCGGCACCGCGGTCGACTGCACCTCAGTAACGACATTCAGCCGGCCTCTCCAGGTCGGTGTGGGCCCTCGGAACGGCGTCCGACCTCCGCCATTGTGACGATAAACAACACATTTCGTGGCGCGGGCGGCGCCCCGAGCGGTGGTCGCCAACTTCCCTTGTTAGCAAGCTCGAGTGGCCGGGGACGGTGGCGAGAAGGGCTGCAGCTGTTGGGGAGATGGCAGTTTCCTCGGGAAGCTGCCGGGGAAATCAGCTGCTGGATGAGCTAGTAACAGCCGGGAAGTCGGAGCAGTCCAAAAGAGGGGCAGCTTCCGGCGGCTTGCAATTTTCTGGGAGTTAGAGAAAAATGAGCTGCTCTCGAACACAGCTGGATAGCAAAGTATTGCTGTACCTAGAAACTGCTTGGCATGTTTTGTGACCCTGTAGGGAATTTTATTGGCATTCCAGTGCTGACATTTGTGTTTGGTCAGTCAGCCAGTAGGATAAATTTACGACACCATCTTTTGTTCCCAACTGCCTCGCTTCATCTAGAAATGAACCATCGGCTCCCGCCTGCTCAGTTTATATACCCTCTGCCACTTTCCCCTCCTTGTCAATGGAGCTCTATTCTCCCACTCAATAAATCTTCGACCATTATCCACCCGTATACAAACCTCACACCCTCCCCTGTATATGAACTCACAGGCTCACCCCGTATATGGACTCCTCCCCACCCACCTCATTTATGAATGATCCCGTGAAGTCTCGAGTGGAAACCATCTGCGGTGGCGGTCTAAACGCTACCGTCACCGCAACCGTCAATGTCACCATCCCCGCGCCGTCTCTGTCGCCGTCTCCGTCACCATCATCAGTCAGCACTCCGCCCACGCTCTCCCTCTCTCCCCTCTCTCCCCTCTCTCCTCAGTAACCGCCGCGGCTGGCCGGTGTGACGCAGGCCGTATTAATTTCTCGCCGAAGGTGCCCAAACAAAGAATGATTAAAGACGGCGGCGGCGGCGGCGGCGGCTGGCCGGCTGTGGTCCGACTCGCCACGCGCAGTCTGTTGACTTTATGGCGATGGTTTCGGCGCGGAGGAGAGGGGCGGAGAGGCAGCTGTCAGCGGCAGAGGGACGGAGGGGAGCCGGAGAGAGCAGTGGCGCACCTGACCCGGCTCTGAGCCGCGACTGTCACACACCCCTGTCCGCCGCCACCCCGACAACATCGCTTTCCATAGCGAGCGGCGGGCCGCCCCTTCACACCGAAAACGGCGCGATATTTATTGCTGTTTACGCGGTGCCGTTTTAAGGACGCACATATATCATGCCCAGTCATTCATAAGGGCCATTTATTAGCGGGTAAAAATCACAATCGGATGGCTTGGGGACCGGCGACGATGGATGTCGGCCGTTTTTGGGCGCCGCCCGTGCCGCCATCTGTTGTTTGTAATGGCGTCGGCTTGTTGATCGTGCCGGTAATGGAATTAGCGCATCCGGCTGAAGGCCGATGAAGCGTGCCGCGCTGAGGTGTTGACTATTGTCAGTCTGAAAGTGTCGGGAGCGGACTGTTGGACAGACTGTCGGGACGGCGCCCGTCACTAGCCTCCCGAGGGAGAGGAACAGAGCAGACACGCGTCAATCGACGAGACGAGAAACGTCGGACGAGGCGAGAGAGACGACGAAGAAGAAACGGCAGCGTCTAGAAAGGTAGCATCTCTGGCGAGAAATCGCCTGGCTTTGAACTCAGCTTATTGTAGTAATGAAATAAGGTTTGTTGTTGAACTATTCATCACCGAAACTGCGGACAGTTTTCACTCGACTACACAGTTTATCTTGAGCGCTATTATTTCTCCTCAGCTTGTTTTTCTCTTTCCAAATGACACGTTGAATTCATTTCACGCGATTCAATCACTGACCAAACACATTGGTTTCGCTGGCTGCGCGCTCATTAGACGCTGTTTTCGGACCGGTACCGCCTCCATCACGTGCTGTCGATGTCAGATGATCGCCAGGGGAGCGGGGGGGGGGGGGGCGGTCCGGGCCGCCGTGTGAGTCCTCCATCCCTGACCTCCGACCTGGCTATGCCGCGGCCGGGACCGACCGACACCCCCGGGTCGGCGGCCGCGCTGACAGCCGAACGGCGCCGTTTGGCGCGGCCTCAAAACGGCCGCCGGCAGCTCTACCGCCGTCCGTCGACAGGTATACGGCGCCGGCCGACGGACGGCCGCCCAACAATGACCCTGCAGACCGCACGGGCGGCGGCAGTAACGGCGGCAGTGGCTTCATGGCAGCACCTTGGGCTCTGTCGTCAGTGGAACCGGTTAAAAAGGGCGGAAGTCGTGAAAGCGTTTTCAAATTAAAGCAGCCTTATCTTTGATGATTTATCCATACAAATCCATGAGTGGTGTATGCGGAATATTTCTCATGCTTTCCCATAAGACATCACGAAAGTTGGCTAAATGCTACGTTCCCATGCTTTCACCCCACAGCAACTCATGTCGTGCGCTTTATCGTGCTCGCCTGAACCAAGCCGCCGCTCAAAGCCCGGATCTTGGTCAGTTTTTGCCGCAACCGCGTCGCCTCCACCGCCTCTGCCGCCTCCGCCGCCGCCCATAGTTGGCCGGTCGGCCTGCTCGCTCACCAGAATGTTGTCAGGTCGCTTATATTTAGGACAATGAGGCGGCGCCATAGAGAATGTGCTGACGGATAGAGCGGGGGCTGAGGACGGAGCTACGTCGGACGGCACCGACGCAGTTCGGGGCCTCTGCGCCGGCTGTCATGACGGTTCGCTATGCTATCACAACTTTCACGGATAAAATCTTTTGCATAACATTTTCTTGGTGGTTCTGTGGAATCATGTAAGACCTGCTCCGTACAAAATTTTCATAATTTTCTGTAAATACCGTCAATATCCTCTCATTACTTTTCCCGAATCCCATTTCAATCCCGGTAACAGTGTAGGAAATAACCCCTAGCCTTTCCGCCTCATCTGCAAAACCTTTCTGCCGTTCCAAGTTCATGGCTCGTCTGCTAACCTCACCCATCCCTGTCCAATCCCTTCTTCTCCCTCCCGTCTCTTTCTCTCCCCTTCTCCCCTTCCCGGCTTCTGTCGCGTGTCGCGCGGCCGCACCGGAAGGGGTGGACGCCGCTTATGTGACCGAGTATGCGAGGTTATCGGTCGCGGCTCTTGTCGCCGACTCCGGTTGCTCATTGCGGCATATTTGGCGCGATGAAATATGACGGTGACGAGGAGCGGCGCGTCAGCACGAGATGCGACGCGCCGCAACTGTCCCCAGCGCAGAACCATGACAGACGGGACGGGGATTGGCACCTGCCTTTCTCGAAGTCAAAAGATAGCAATAGATTCCGGCGTAGCATTCTAAAAGTTGTCAATTACACTTCTTGCTTTTATAAAGAACAAACTGGACGCAGATTAACTCGGCCATCACTCGTAAGGCTTTGTAACCTACCAGTAATTTCCCCAACATCACTCGTCCCCGTCGCCGCTGCCGCCTGTCGAACCACGCGTAGACTGTGCCGCCGTACACCTGGCGCTCCGCCTGCCGCGCGGCGGTCAGCTGCGCCGGCGAGCTCAGGTGTGCGCCGGCGCAGTAGGTCGCGCCGCTGCAGGCGGAGCCTCGCCCGACACAATGGCCGCCGCCCGGCGGTCAGCCGGCATTGTGTGACGTCAGAGCCCCGACCGACCGCCGAGCGGTGCCGGCTCGGTCGGCGGCGCGCTCCATTGAGTCACGAGACGGAGCGCAGCGCCGCGTCGCTCACTGTCTCTCGGCCGACGCCAATGAGTCGTGGCGAACGGGCGCCGCGCGGCGGCGGCGACACGGGCGCGCTCCGGCGGCGGTGGCGGCCCCTCCGCCGGCCTTTGAAGTCGCTGCGGCCGCCCGATTGACAGTCGTCCGCCGGTGCCGACTATTTGTTGCCGTTTCCGCCGGCAGCACGCTGAGCGATGGTGGCGTGCGCGGCGCGGTATTTGCGTTATGTTGGCCGCTAAATGACGTCCATTTGTTAGGCTGACACGGCTGGGCGGCTTTGCACGGTGTGTCGCAATAAAGCGCGTGCGCTGGCGGCGAGCCGCGCGGCAGGCATTGATTGCACAAAATGGAGGGTATCGGTGGTTGGCTGACTCCTCCCGCCCCGCTCGGCGGCGGTGGAGCGTCTCCTATTGTTGCCGGCCGGGTGGTGGGCGGCGCACGTCGGCTCCGTCAGTCGTCGTCGGCAGCGGAGGCGGCGGCGTCCGCGCAGCTTCGAATGTTACCGTCGGCAGTCCATACCACACCCTGGCAATCTGTGGTGCCATGAACTCCGCGCTTCGTGTGGGTGCCTCAAACAACGCCCACGAATGCCAGATGTCGTTTCCATGTAG